TAAAAATAGAAACGCGGAGAGTGTTACCTAATTGTAGAGTGATAATGAACGCGTTCAACTTGAACTTGAAACGTTCAGTGTAGATAACAAATAGTTCGCGTGTTTCTACGATAACAGAAGCCGCTAAGTGGTCGTTAACCTCACGTGATTACGGATAACGGTCTATCCGACGGCGCAGCAGAAATTACGTAAACTAATTTTTTTTTTATTTACACGTTCCGCGTTTATCAGTTTATCAGAGAGTTTAGAGTTTCGCGGCACGAACGGACAACGTCGGCAATCGAGTACGGGGAAGGAGGATCTCCTCACCGGGTTTCACCGGAAGATACGAGGGACGCTAAAGTTCTCCAGTTAGCTGGAAAGATAATGCGAATCTCTCGCGACGGTAACAACGTTGGTAATTGACCGCCTCTGGTGATGACGCGATCGTTACAGTTAACCGGCTCCCGTGTGGGATGATCGTAACTTTCTGTGTATCCCGGAGAGTGTTCCGTGGGATCAAACTCCGTGCCGTGTCAATGAAATTAACGACAGGTCTCGAACGCGTACGATGGATGGACGGTAGTGATGTGCGACCCGACTAATGTGTCGAATCGGTTCGGAAAACATCGGGCGGGCGCGGGGGGGCGTTCGAACTATTTCGGAAAATCATCTTATTCCAAAGTTCCATATAAAACAGATTTTGCACATGCTTATTGCAAGTACTATTAACAAGTAGTACCTGACAAGGAGAACTACCCAAGTGTTACACTCACTTATTAATGAAACTTTGCCAGCTTGTAGAGCTCGTCGAGCTGAACACGCCTATACCCCGTTTTGTGGGGAGACGACTAATTGTTTAAAAGATATTAATAATTAAAGTTAGTTACTACTTACATTGAGAAGTATGACAGACTCACATATACAACTCGCAATCTAGAGATCCACGGTTCAAATCCTTGATTCCCAACATTTTTATTTTTATTTTTAATGATAATTTGTCTCTTTTTGAATAACTATCACATAAAAATTATCATAAAAAAAAAAAAATTTTATTTGGAAGCAAGGATTTGAACCAAGGACCTTAAAATTGCAAGTCACGGATCTGCTCCGTGGTTAAACACATGACTCGTAATCTAAAGGTCATCGGTTCAAATCCTGGGTTCCGTTTTTTTTTTTTATAATGATAATTTTTATGTGATAGTTATTCAAAAAGAGACAAATTATCATTAAAAAAGAAAAAAATGTTGGGAACCAAGGATTTGAACCGTGGATCTCTAGATTGCGAATTGTATGTGTGAGTTTGTCATACTTCAGAATGTAAGTAATAACTAACTTTAATTATTAATATCTTTTAAACAATTAGCCGTCTGCCCACAAAACGGGGTATAGGCGTGTTCAGCTCGACGAGCTCTACAATCTGGCAAAGTTTCATTAATAAGTGAGTGTAATACTTGGGTAGTTCCCCTTGTGAGAGTTGGGTCGGGGGCCGCGGCCCGCGTGAGATCATCCGAATCAGCCCGATTGTGCCCGACCGAACCCGAAATATGCTACCCGACTGCACGCATGTATGGGACACCCGCCCGAGCCCCGTAATCCCGGGTACTCGCTCATCCATAATGGACGGGGTATCCGGTGAACGAAAGGCTCTGATTTTTGGGTTAAACAGGGTCAACAGAGCGGTAGATGATCAGTGATTGAACGAGCAACGGTCAGCCACGACCAATGAAAATAAATCGAATTTTCGCGGATCACGCGGAAGCCCGATGCAGCGTCCAAGTTTCCCAGGGACTTCAGGAAGGTCACGAAGTATCTAAACAATCGGGGAAGTTTTCGATGAAGTAAAGAAAAAGTCAATGATTAAATAGATGATCTCGAGAAAAATCATTATCTATGCCTGGCTGTAATTAGCACACGTTTCTAAGCTGACGTATATATATGTAATGGAAAGAGAAAAGGTTAACGAGTATATCTCATTGGTTCCCTGGTGATCTAGCCTAGACTCGGTGAACATTTGCAGGCCATTAAGCGGCTTCCTGAATCCTCTCTTCCGGAGAATTCTCGATCGACCCCGGTTCCGTTCATTTCTCAAATTAACCGTCGACTAATTAACCAATTAATTAACCCCTATTGGTCATAGTGAATCGGTCGCAAAGAAAGAAAATAGAAAAGGTTGAATTTCCTTCTCGATCGTCCTGTATATTCAAAGATTTGCATTTTAGCAAAGGAATCTCAAAGGAAGTCGTAGGTTGAGTGTCACAGAACAGCAGGTATCTGTTTGTAGTTAGTGAACCTTTTGCTTGAAAATAAATACATTGTCAAAATGCTTGGAACCAGGTTGCCACGGACCGTATAAAATGTAGCGGGATTATACGCCGCGAAATATATATTAATGCATATGCATGAGGTGGCGGTGTACGCGTTACGAAACCTCGTAGTATTCAAATCATGGACGTAGACGGCATCGCTGAGAAGAAAGTGTTTGCACGGAAATGGAGTTGTCTGGTATTTTTCATTAAGTGGAAAAAGAGGTTTTAAGAAAGTGGACGAGTGTTATTTTTTATTCTAAGACATTGGTACAGTACCGAGCATGGAAGTTTGTCTAGGAAAAATGACGATGTTTGCCTCCACCCATAGGTTGTCAGCTCTCGAATTAATTATTATTAATGTAGGCGTTTAGTGGAGGGGGAGAGAGGGTTTCGTCTCCCCGGACGCCTTTAGTTCAGGTCGGGGACCGCTAGGTGGCGGCGCGGTGAGATGATAGGTGACAGTGTTCTCGCAAGCGGTCGCCCGGCATGCAGTTCAAATACGTATATAGAAGTTCAAAATTGCGATATTATAGGTCCCTGGGGCAGGGATCTCTTGTTCTCCTCTTTTTCTCCCCTTTCCTACAAAAGTTATTTTTCATTCTAAGTCATTGGTATAGTATCGAGCATGGAAGTTTGTCTAGGAAAAATGACGATGTTTGCCTCCACCCATAGGTTCTCAGCTCTCGAATTAATTATTATTAATGTAGGCGTTTAGTGGAGGGGGAGAGAGGGTTTCGTCTCCCCGGACGCCTTTAGTTCGGGCCGGGGACCGCTAGGTGGCGGCGCGGTGAGATAATAGGTGACTGTTCTCGCAAGCGGTCGCCCGGCATGCAGTTCAAATACGTATATAGAAGTTCCGAATTGCGGTGTGATAAGTGTTGTCAGCCCCACTGACGAATCTGACAGACGATCCCGAGACGAAACGCCTTTATCTCCCCTCTCCTACAAGGGTTATTTTTCATTCTAAGTCATTGGTACAGTACCGAGCATGGAGGTTTGTCTAGGAAAAATGGCAATGTTTTAAGGTTCCCCTTCCTCAGCTCTCGAATGAATTAAGAAACTTAGATTGCTATTATAACGAATAAAATTTCAAATTCTAACACTTATCTAAAAATTAGAACACCTATATGAAATTTATTTCTAACTATTAAAAATATAGCAAATATGCCATTAAACTTTGCGAAATAATATTCAGATAAAGCGCCGATGCTATACCTATATTTATGTTGAAAATGTAGAGAAATTGGAAGCATAAACCAAGCTTAACGAACAAGCGTTCGAGACGAATTACGAAGCGACATGTACACGTGGCAGCTACTACCCTCTGCACCGAACTAGAAAGATGCTAACGTACTTCTGCCATTATGGAGTCAGTTTACTCAGGGTATAGCCGCTACTGTTAACCACTTTAGGTCGTTTGTTACGGGGGGAAACGGCTTCGGGAAATCAACGCGGCAGAATGCTAAATCGATCGGGATTTAACGTTCCCGCTCGTTGAAACTTACGTCGAATCGTGTCGGATCCAGTTGCGACAAAATGCGTGAAGCAAATTGCACATTTATTACAATCTATTCATAATCGTTAGATGTAACGATGGATACAATATTCTTTCTGCTCGATTTTTCAAGAACTTCGAATAATATTTAAAGCGAATGGAAATTTTTCATCAATACAACAGTGGGTATTCGTGTCCAGTTTTCATTTATCTTTTTTCAATGGATCGACGATAAATCAGTATACGGAAAAGCGTCGTCGACCATCGCGCTTTTCCCATTTTTCTCCGGTGATCGATAAGCCTCTAATCACTCGTCCCGTCAACCCTTCAATTTATGATTTCCTCCCTGGAAAACTATACAACTTTTCTGCTGTATTTGGTTACCTCAAAAAAGGGGAGAAAAATAATTTTCAGTCGATTTCAAATTACGAAACGGGGTCGAACGAGATTATTCAATTAAAAATAATTCTCTTAAAGTTTGCGGAATTTTTTTTGTTCGATCCCGTTCCGTCTCTCGTATCTTTTCCTCTCCTTTCCACGCGATTGCACGAGCGACCTAGCGTTATTTAAATCTCGTTACCCTTCGATCTTTCCGTTAGTTCTCGACCTTCGTGTGATTAGAGGCCTCGGTGACCCGTTAAAAAAACGAATTTCAAAGCGACGCCGAGGAAAAAATTTCATTCCCTTGATAACGTCATCCTTCTGAAAACGCTGCACCTTCTTAATGAGATTATTAGATATTTTCCTTTACCCTTGAAGACAACTTGTTTTCTGAAGGGACCTTCTATCGATCGCAGAAGAAAAAGGTTAACCTTCTTGTTTTTTTAAATAATCGACGAAGAATGGTCTGATCGGAAGGAAAAATAATGAAAAAAGCACATTTCCGAAGAAATTTTGTGTGTTAATTAGCCGAGATGTGCCTCGTTATTTTCAGGGCCGGCCTGAGATTTCGGGGGTCCGAGGCGAGCACCGAAAAAGGGCCCCATCACATATAAAGTACCTCAAATAAAATTTATAAAATTAACATCAAAGTTTGTATAACTGATTTGGATTTGCATATTCAAGTAAACATTACTCTTGCATTCTTAAACGAAAAATCATCTTATGGGGGCCCTGGGCGGCCGCCTAATCTGCCTAGGCCCAGGGCCGGCCCTGGTTATTTTCCTTCAGACTGATCAAAGACTGAAATTCAACTGATCAGGAAATTTCATGCTCACCTCCTTGCAGTTGTGGTTCACCTAACTCGACGTAGAACAGAGCGTCCTTCTCGTACGAGTCCTCTTCGATGACCGACAGGTTGATCACTTTTCTGGAAAAAAAGAGGGAATCGAGTTATGTTTGCAAATACATAAACAGATTATTGAAAGGAGTAACTGTTGGACATCAACAATGATATATTATCGGATCGAGGTTTATAAGTGGCGTGAAATGCAACCAGGTCGTTTAAAATGCACCGTCGATGATATTCGACGTTGACGAAGCCAGATGGTTCGCTAAATTGATCCGGCTGCTAGTCTGAATCGATTTGAAATTCAAATTTGAACGTCTAATTTGGCAAAAGCCGTTCTATCGCTCAGCCTGTCGAGTCGGTTACTCGATTATGCTCCTGTATGCCCTGGGAAGGCTGATTGAAAAGCGTCGAAACGAGGTTTGTCGTTGCGTGTGTCTAGGAGGTAACGAAATTTTCTGTCCGCTTTTTCAGTCGGCAAGTACTTTCTTTTAACCTTAGAACTCTCCAATTCTTTTGCACAGAAAGTTTGCTTAGAAGCTTGCAACTTTTAACTTTCAACTGGAGAGCTAACAGTTTCGAATTTCTAACTCTCAACTTCCAAATTTCAACTGAGAAGCTATCAATTATCAGCTTCCAATTAGGAAGCTAACAGTTTCGAATTTCTAACTCTCAACTTCCAAATTTCAACTGAGAAGCTATCAATTATCAGCTTCCAATTAGGAAGCTAACAGTTTCAAATTTCTAACTTAGAAATTAGTAACTTGCAAGCATCCAGCTTCAAAAATTCAATTGAGTAGTTATCAATTACCAGCTTCTAATTAGGAAGTTAATAGTTTCGAATTTCTGACTTTCAAGCTGCTAATTTTCAAGCATCCAATTTCCAAATTCCAATTGAGAAGCTATCAATTATCAGCTTCCAAATAGGAGCTAACAGTTTCAAATTTCTAACTTAGAAATTAGTAATTTGCAGGCATCTAATTTCCAAATTCCACCTGAGAAGCTATCAATTACCAGTTTCCAATTAGGAAGCTAACAGTTTCAAATTTCTAACTTAGAAATTAGTAACTTGCAAGCATCCAGCTTCAAAAATTCAATTGAGTAGTTATCAATTACCAGCTTCCAATTAGGAAGTTAATAGTTTCGAATTTCTGACTTTCAAGCTGCTAATTTTCAAGCATTCAATTTCCAAATTCCACCTGAGAAGCTATCAATTATCAGCTTCCAAATAGGAGCTAACAGTTTCAAATTTCTAACTTAGAAATTAGTAATTTGCAGGCATCTAATTTCCAAATTCCACCTGAGAAGCTATCAATTACCAGTTTCCAATTAGGAAGCTAACAGTTTCAAATTTCTAACTTAGAAATTAGTAACTTGCAAGCATCCAGCTTCAAAAATTTAATTGAGTAGTTATCAATTACCAGTTTCCAATTAGGAAGCTAACAGTTTCAAATTTCTAACTTAGAAATTAGTAACTTGCAAGCATCCAGCTTCAAAAATTCAATTGAGTAGTTATCAATTACCAGCTTCCAATTAGGAAGCTAACAGTTTCGAATTTCTGACTTTGAAGCTGTTAATTCTCAAGCAATCAATTTCCAAATTCCAACTGGGAAGCTATCAATTATCAGCTTCCAAATAGGAAGCTAACAGTTTCAAATTTCTAACTTAGAAATTAGTAACTTGCAGGCATCCAATTTCCAAATTCCAACTGAGAAGCTATCAATTATCAGCTTCCAATTAGGAAGGTAACAGTTTCAAATTTCTAACAAATTTCTAATTTAGTAACTTGCAAGCATCCAACTTCCAAAGTCCAATTCAGAAGCTACTAATTATCCGCTTCCAATTAGGAAGTTAACAGTTTCAAATTTCTAACATAGAAGCTGGTGATTTGCAAACATCCAACTTTCAAATACCAACCAAGAAGCTACCAATTTTCAATTTGAGTGAAAATAATGGAAATTTCAGCTGCCGCCTGAAATTTTCATTGTATGTCATTTATTATGGAATGTAGACGGCACGCACTAGATAAATATAGTCACCAGTAAGTGCCGCTAGCCAGTGACTATAATTACCACTAGAACTGAGGTAAATTATGCTTCTACTAGAACATTCAACTCGGATAACTTTCAATTTATTTCGAATATCGAAAATGAAATATACGCTGGTCATTGAATATTCTATCGCTAAATTATAAGAGAGAAAATTTCTTAAAAGATCGCCAGAAGAGGAAACACCCTTTCATCAAGCGTACGTCCCGATTCCATTTCACTCTCATCGATTCGACAAGCTTTCCCTCCCGAGAAATCGAATTCCCAGTAGATTGGATTGCTTCGTTCGGACTCGGGCTGACCGAAAAAACGTCTTCGACTCGCTTGCATTTCGCGAGCTGCAACTTGGGGAGGGAAAAAAACGGAAGAAAACTACACGGCAATGTTTCCATTGCATTCTGGTCGAGCGATTACTCGAAATCGCTCTTATTCTTGCGAGGAATGTGGGTCAGTTGCTAGGAAAGAATTTTGTCGGATAAAAAAAAACGATCGTACGTCTTCCCTGTTATCGATCCTCAAATTTTTTCCAATTGTTTTTCCTTTTCAGCGAGAAAAACCAGTCGGATTTTTGTCTCGGTGACTCTATTTTATTATTGTTAAATTCCCTTCCTCTATCTTCTTTTCTTCCATTGTTCCAAATGACTCGATTGGAATCGGTTAGCGAACAGTGGAAACGGTCCACAGGGCACGTGACTCGTATTTTTATCGTTGTTAAACGATTCACCGATACTAAAATTGTCCCCTTAACGGGACAAGGCCACAGAATTACGGGAGATCTCTGTTTGGCTCAGCCTTGACCAGATCGAGCGAAATGAGATAGGGAAATTGAAACGCTGCAGAATCTGATCTGGCTGTTACTCGAATGGGAATCCTTCGTGCTCGTAAAACAGTGAGTAACTCTTTTTTCCCTCTTAAGATTGGAAGGACGAGCTTTATTCCTCGACGACATTAGGACGCCTCGATTGCGAGCCGTCCTTTCACGAAACGCGTTGTAGCTCGTTACACGGGGGGGTGGGGAAAAAAAGCTGCTGCTGCAATCACCGTGAATCGTTCGAAGAAAGAAGAATGGTAGAAAATGGGGTAATTTACGAGGAGCGAAATTTTAAAAACGTCCTTCTATATATATATTGTAGCATTCGAGTCTCAATTGTTACCATCGATTGTTAAGCGTGGCCTATTTTTTAAAGTCACCCACGAAGGACCATGGTTTCACGGTCGAGAGATAATTTCTAGTCGCGTTAATTTCAGAGTGGTAGTGCTTGGGACGCTTTTTATTGTTGAGATTGCGCCAGCCTGTCGCGAATAGGCATTTTCCGCAGGGAATGCGTACAATGGTGGAACGTGTACCATGCAAATTGGCGCATAACAGAATTTTTTCATAGGCAAATATTTACTAGTCCCTGATTTAGGGATCCTTGAAATTCTTTTATAACAAACAGAGTTGCGGGTTAGGATTTGAGAGTTGGAAATTGGGAATTGGGAATTGGGAGTTGATGGATGGTAAAATTAGAAATTGCTAATTGAAAATTGAAAGTTAAAAATTGAAAAATAATATTTAGGATTTGAGAGTTGGAAATTGAAAATTGGGAATTGGGAATTGGGAGTTGATGGATGGTAAAATTAGAAATTGTTAATTGAAAATTGAAAGTTAAGAATTGAAAAATAATATTTAGGATTTGGGAGTTGGAAATTGAAAATTGGGAATTGGGAATTGGGAATTGGGAGTTGATGGATGGTAAAATTATAAATTGCTAATTGAAAATTGAAAGTTAAGAATTGAAAAATAATATTTAGGATTTGGAAGTTGGAAATTGAAAATTGGGAATTGTGAATTGGGAGTTGATGGGTGGTAAAATTAGAAATTGCTAATTGGAAGTTGAAAGTTAAAAATTGAAAAATAATACTTTTGCAACTTCTATCTCCCCATAGAATAACCATCAGAACAGACAAACTGCATCAGCGCACCTGTTCAGTGCGCCAGAATTCCTACTCACAACAATAGAATAAATTCCTCATTACCATAATGGGTTTATTGTCTTGAAAGGGGTTAACCGGTAAATCCCACGCCTCGAAGGAATCCTGAATCGGTAAACGAGCGTTAGATTCCGAAAATCTTAATGCCACCCGTAGGATACGTTTCGAATCGTGCACCCAGTGCGTAAAGGAAAGTTGGAGTCGCGTTTCTGGCATGCTTCTTCGCGCTCTGTGGAACGCGAATCCGCGTCTGAACAATGGGTCACAAGTAGAATGCGACTGCCACGAGGAGCACACATTCGCGCGTGTATCTTCCCGGAGGATTCACGAACAGAGTGAAAATTCAAATTACGTCAAGCACAGACATGGCATGAACGCGGCTGAGCTTTAACACGAGTTTAATTAATTTAGAAAAACGTCACGTGGTCTACGACCATGTTATGAATGCAGGGCCAAAATCGTTTGTTAAGTTTAACTTTGAGGTAACGTACAATCAAATTTCTTACTTTCTGTTGTTGGCTGGATATAGAGTGTGTTTTAATTGAAATAAATTATGTACGATTGCGTTTGCTTTTAATTTTTTAATTGTTAAGAGAGTGAATTTTCAACTTCCAACTTTTAACTATCCAGCTGTCAACTTCTAACTTTCAATTCCCAATTTCCAACTACTAATGTCCATCTTCCAATTGCCAATTAACAATTTCCAACTTCCAATTCATAATTTCCAATCCCCAACTACCAATTTCCAACTTCCAATTCCCAATTTCCAACCTACAATTCCCAATTCTCAGCAACCTATTTCCAATTCCCAATTCCCAACTACCAATTTCCAATTTCCCATTCCCAACTAACAATTTCCAATTTCCAATTGCCAGTTTACATCTACCGACTACCAATTTCGAGCTTCCAGTTCCCAATTCCCATTTCTCAACTACAAATTTCCAACTTCCAATTCCCAATTCTCAGCTACTAATTCCCAATTCCCAACTACCAATTTCCAACTTCCAATTCCCAATTCTCAGCTATCAATTCCCAATTCCCAATTCCCAACTACCAATT